CATTTGTGACTCAAGCATGACTGCTTCTTGAATGTATTGCTTTTTAAAAAGTTCTAAACATTTATTGGTCAACTGAGTTGAATTGATTAAACCAAATGCAATTAATGGATTTATTGTAGCTTAAAAATAGAACAGGAGTTAATCACAGCCAGGTAGCTATTGTGCTACCACTATAGCATAGAAAATCAATAGCAACTGCCGTGGTTTCACTCCCCCTCGATTAAATTGTACAGTTAAACAAATGGATAAGATGATTTAGATCTTAAAAAATGTTTATTCTGATTGCAGTTCCATGTCCTGAGAAAGTCTATATTGCTGTGATAGGGAAAGAAAAAGAATCTGAACTCTGCTCTTTGCTATCTATACATTCTATCTATCCCATCATTTTTTTAAAAAAAAATCATGTTTATTAAAAGCTATCTGGGAATACTGAATAAATTTATCACATGATAACTACATAGAACAAAGTGGCATCTTTTGTTTTCTGTAAATGAGAATTCAAGGAATTCAGATTACTTCAGTAAAGATTATTCTCCTAGATCAGACATGTCAAACTCATGACTTCATGTGACGTCGCACGACGTATCAGAGCTTTTTCCCCATTGCCGGCAATGGGGTGGGCACGGTTTCCTGGTGACGCGTCCGGCCCACGGGCCGGCAATTTAACATCCCTGTCCTATATAGTAATTGTGTGTTAGCATACCATAACTTCATAGTTATGTACCAGGTGTTAGAGCTGAAGAAACTGAAAATAGTTCAACATACCCTAAAAGAAGATATCCTTGCTTATATTCTAGCCCAGTGATGGCGAACCTACGGCACGCATGCCAGAGGTAGCACTCAGAGCCATCTCTGTGGGCACACCTGCCGCCAGCCTCTCGCGCAGGTCCATTAGGCCGCCGCTGGCACCTGGAGCAACAGCCCCATCCAGCACAAAGGAGGCGAAGCAGCTAACTAGCAAGCTTGAGTAGAGGTGGTAGAGCATGCCCCCATGCACTCGCTGGCCTCTGTGTGCGGGGGCCAATGGTGTCAGGCAGCAGCCACCCCTGCCTCGCCTTGCCTTGCCCGGCAGCAATGGCACCCCTGCCCTATCCCCTGCCTTACCCCACAGGACGAGCCTGCTACCCACCGCCCCACCCACCAGGGATCCCCTGGATCTCCCCCAATCTTGCCCAGCCCCACAGGTGTCCCCCCCACGAGCAACCTCGAGGTGGTCACGCCCATCCTGGCCGTGACCACCCAGTCTGCCATGACCACTGCAGCCATACCCACCAAGTGGCCCATGCCCCCCCGCTGCCCCCCTCCGAGTGCACCACAATGCTGATGCGGCCCTGGGTTACGGTTTGGGCACTCGATCTCTAAAAGGTTTGCCATCACTGTTCCAGCCACTAACCATCTATGAGGTTGTCATTTCTGGGACAACCTTCTCTCTCTGTGTGTGTGCAAGAATAAAAGCAAAGATGGTTCTGATCAAGGTCAAAGTCACCATGAACAGACTGGTTTAACTTCTCTGATTTTTATCTCTCCGCTTAGATACTAATACAACAGCAAGCAAGATAATGAAAAGAGGGGAAATGGTGCAGCTACAGCCGCTTAATTTTGTAGTTGTTTTAGCCTGGAGCCTCCTCTGTGCCTGGAGGCCAGAAATAATAGTCAGCATTTTTATGAGCAGCTTTGTGTATGTGTGTAATGGATACTATATTCATCTAAGTCAGGGTTTCCACACCACGTTTTGAGAAAACCTGAGGTCTTCAAATGTATGTATGCGTGTCCTTTTCATGTATGTGTACATACATGTGAATTTATTGTTATTAGAGTTTTGCCTCTAGATAAAGAATCCCAAGGTTTTGTTATTTTTAACTAAAAGGTTGTGTAGCCTGAAAAAAAATGAAAAAATTGTGATATAACCCCTCCTCATACTTTCTGGCTGGTAAGATGAGAACTGTGCAAAGCCCTGATCTGAAATAAAAGAAGTATTAAGCTTCTATTCCTTTATTGCCCACCACGAGTGATAAAGTCTCATATCCCAAAAGGCTTTTCTTGGAAGCAGATACATTTGCAGAAGCTGTGCAAAAAAGAAACAAGAGCTGAAGTATAAATTGTGATCTTCTGTTTCCTCCAGATTGCCCTGAGAAAGGTTCTTTAAAAAAAATAGATCAAAAATGGCCATGCGAGAAAGAGGTAGCTCAAGAAGATAGTTACTAAATGGGAAAGCTGGAAATGTTTCATGAAAAACACCATATTGCCCTTCTTAACAACGCCTTCAACTGGAAACACAAATTTCAAATACAAGTCATTATTTTACAGGTAGTCCTCGACTAATGACCACTACTGAGCCCAACATTTCTGTTGCTAAGTGAGACATTTGCTAAGTGAATTTTGCCTAGTTTTAGGACCTTTCTTGCCACAGTGGTTAAGTGAATCACTGCAGTTGTTAAGTTAGTAATGGGGTTGTTAAGTGAATCTGGCTTCCCCATTGACTTTGCTCGTCAGAAGATCACAAAAGGTGATCACATGACCCCCCCCCGGGGACACTGCAACCGCCATAAAGCATCTGAATTTTGAGCACATGACCACAGAGACGCTGCAACAGTTGTAAGTGTGAAAAACAGTCATAAGTCACTTTTTTCAGTGCCACTGTAACTTTGAATGGTCACTAAATGAACAGTTATAAGTAGAGGACTACCAATATTAATGCTTGATTTCCACTTCACACCAACCCTTCATGTGGTTTTTGTGGTGTTGCCTTAGCATATTTTATAGGACACACAAATAGAATACATTGTAGGAGCCCTGCTCATTTGGGGTTTTTTTCTTAGTAATGATTAGAAAAATCACAATTATTAATACCTGATAGGTAGCATTTTAATCATAATGTTGACACATTGTGCTAATAAATTCTGGGATTGAAAGTAAGCATAGATTATTGAAGTCACCTTGCTCCATAGTAATAGGCTGCTGAGTCAAATATCCCATAAAAGTAGCAAATGCACTTCAAGTACAGATGAAAGTGATAAAAGAAATAGTTACAGAAAATTTTCTTCTGATGCCAGTTCAGAGGAATTAGAAAGCCTTGTTTATTATGTTCTGTTGTAATGATACACTGCTAGGGATTCCATAAGTTGTTTTTCAGATTCAGATTGTGACTATCTGGTTTAGTTTAATTACTGTTTGTTGAACAAGCCATTACAACTAATTCACGTGTAATTCTAAGCCCTATGAAGCACAGTGTACAAGCCACAATGGCTGGCTTCACACTTACTACCATGTGTGACATTTCAAGCCATTCTCTCAGGAAAATGTTTCAGTTCAAAGGAATATTAATCAGTCAGACATTTCAACAGTAGTCAACTAATTAGACTGCTTCTTTAAAGCTTTTGCAGTGTCTGGTCTTCAGTCTGAAAGACTTCAAGACGAGATTGCAGAATAATAAAAGCAACACTGTCCCTGTCCTTAGATTTAGGTTTTAAGAAGACAATAAAAAATAAAAAAGCAGAAAGGAATGGGAAAGAGAAAATAATTCTGGGACCAGGTCTTAATGTTTTATGATTTAATGTGATGAAATGAGGTATAAAAGATGGCCCAGATAATGTCACTGCCTCCAAACAGATGGACATTTTGCTCTTCAACATGCCAATTAGCATTATGAGCTGGGACCAGTGATACAGTATAATAATTTCATAAGTATTATGCTATTCTGCCTGACAATCATTATCCTGTTAAGCACCAGCAATCATTGAGAAAGGTAAAACTGTTTTAGTGTAGCTGATTTGAGGGGAATCAAGGAAGAAATTGGATTGGAAACATACTGTTCTCTAATGTGCAAAAACAGCAAAATAACACATTCCACTAACATTGATTATGTATGAACTCTAAAATCTACAAATTGCTGAAAACACATAATTTAATTAAAAATAACCAATGGATATAGGTAAACAATCTCTCTGCATCATCATAAGAATATGACTGATTGGCTTGATCTGTTCTACATTAGCCACAGGTTAATATGCCATCTGCTAACAGCAGGTAAAATTTTTCATTTTACCTGTTAAATATTATATATGGTGCCTACAACCTAATTTTATACTCTCGGATACATGGGTATTTGGGCTATGTAAAGATTGTTGAATTAGTTATTAGGATTACACTTCAATAGTTTAAAATAAGACTGTGGTACCTGGAATCATTTCCCTACTATTAAAGAGCATCTGATAACAAAAACAGAAGACAACATATTTTATTCCAAAATTTATTGCAATAAAATATATTTCAACCTCTATGTTTTATGCGGAAAGTCCAGATGCAAGTGATACAGTCAACCAGCTATGTTAATAGAAAATCAGCCTTGAGAGTAAGAAAGTCTCTGCTCGAATGACAAATATATCCTTAAGATGTTTGTATAATCACACAGAAGCCCTTTGGGCATTTTTGTTACTTGGTTTTTCTTGGTATTTTTAAATGCACTATCAGGTCAGATGTTACAAGCTCCTTAGACTCAACATTTCATAGATGAAGATGTCTAAGGAGGTTTATGCAAAGCTTTCCAAGGAGGTACTGCACTTGGCAACTACTACAGGACAGTATAGGAACCCATGAAGCCGCCACAATGCTTTTGCAAGACTCATGCAGCTATTTGAGAGCTACTTCGGATTGTTTTTCCTATAAGAATATTGAACGATAATTCTGGGATTTACAGGGAAGCAAAGACCAGCACAGTTAGTTGGTGCAGACAAAATGCAAAGTTACTCTAGGACAGAGTTGAGTGGGGGGGTGGGTGGAGGGGGGCGCGCGTGTAAATGTCAGTATTATGAAGAAAGAAAAAAATTTCACGGTTCTTTCTCAACAATCCTGCCACCGCAATGACTACAACGGAGAGGAGAGGAAAAGGAGCGTTACTTTCACGAGTCGGATCTCTTTCTCCTTCCTCGACTTCCTTTGCTGAACGAACCGACCGCTTCCAACAAAAAGAGGAGGGGAGAAGAGACAGAGGACGCTTTTACCTTCGGCGGCTCCCGACGCGGGAAAAGTTCTTTCTCAGGCCGCGCCGGCGAAGGCGAGGGACGCTCGGTATTTTTTCTCAGGAAGTCTGCAAAGGCTATAGGAAGGCGTTAGTCCCCGCTGCGGTGCGATTATTCCCATAACAACAGGAACCACAAACCGGTCACCCGGGGAGGGCAAACAAATTGCTTGGAAACCGCCCCGCATGGGGTCAGCCGGGGACAGGCCGGCCTCGGTCGCAAGGCTATAGTCTCCCCATGAAAGAGAGGCGAGTTGTAGATGTTGTGGGTATCTCTCGAGAACGGGAGGGGGCATTTAAAAAAGAAAAGAAAATGAGAGTATTATAAAATAGCAGGAAGGTAAAAAGACCAGCTTGGGGGCAGATGCTCATATCAATCAGAGCAAGAGTCCTGGGCTACCGGCCTCTGAGCAGGGTTACAGCCCTACGCTTATTTTGGAAGGGGGCGCCTGAAGAAGGACTCCCTAGCAAAATGGTATTGGGGGGGGAATGAATGAGCCCTGAAGAAGGGAATATGGTTCTAGCCAGGGTTTACTTTGGAGAGATTGTGGGGATGGCTTTCAAATGCATCGTGTCCCCCCCACCCCCATTTTAAGTGAAAAGGATTGAGTAGATGGAAAATAGACAATGTCCTGTGGTTGGTGTATATGCTGTTGCCTTCTTAGGTAGAGAATATCTCAAGTTGGACTTTGCCCAACAGAAACATTACCTTTTGGTACTTGTGATAGTCTCTTTCCCGACCCTGGCTTTCAACACCTGCTCTCTATTTTCTTCTTCTTCTGCATTTCTGCTGGGAAACAATGCTGGCTGTAGCTATTTTGGAACCTGAAGCAAAATGTAAGATAACTCCCCCCCCCCTTAGTTTATGTGCTAATAGAAACACAGGTTGGAGGCGAGAAGATAGAATTGGTGCCCCTGTCAAGCTTCTGCTGCACTTCTGCACTATCTGCTCTGATTTAGGGAACATTTTCTTCCAACTAAGTGATTTTAGTAATCCCACTGAGCTCTTCATAAATAATGCATTTTTATTTCAAAGTAGTCATGTTTATTGGAGAGTTTTAAAAGCTTCCCTAATTATCTCAATTTAGAGAAATGCTTTTTTAAAAAAAAAATTAGTTCCCAAGTTCTCAGCTTCACACAATAAAGGTTAGGAAAGTATGCCTTACTGCAGCAAGTTGCAAAGAAATCAATCATCTTTTGTACTGCTTTTCAAGTCTTGGAAAAAACACAAAGCACTCTGAATATGCTATTAATGCACCTTGTTAGACGAAACATGCACACCTGTTATTGTATCACCATCTCTCTACTTAATTTGAAATCCATAGCATCACAATCACTCAAGTTCTAATAGAAAATATATGTGAGAACTCATGCTGTGCTCCTAAGTAGTGATGCAGGAGGAGGCAAATTGTTGTTCCAAATTTAGTTTGTTTCAGCCTTCTACTTATCTTCATTCTGGACTGGAAATCTTTCTTTCAGAGGTTTCCTGGACAGGTTGCTGTTGGAGTTTGATATGTGTTGGATGTCACTATCCTCCTTCCACCTTGGGGAGGGAGGGTTGTAGCAAATTGGTTAGGTTATCTTCCCCACCCTATATACATACATACATACATACATACATACATACATACATACATACATACATGGGTCTCAATATAACAAAAAAGCATAAAGGTCTTAACATTGGTTTGCATTTATTGAATGGAGCTTATAACCTTTTCTTATTTTCTTCCAGTCCTAAACTTCAGTTGTTTAATTTGAGATCGATGCCACTTTTTGCTTCATTGCTGTGTTAGGAGTTAAAAATCCTTGCCAATTTATTGAGGATCTACAGTAATTCTAATTGGCCTTTTTATCTTCTCGATTGTACTTTTTAGAGTGGCCACTGTTATAGAGTTTTGGTTTATTTTAACTGTTTAAAAACTCTTTTGAACCATAGTTAAAGTTTTAGAGTTGAGATATGGAATTTTATTAGAATAGGATACCTTCCTTTCTGGGGCAGATGTCTCTGGAAATATATATATATATATATATTGTGGCAGATGTCTCTGGAAATATATGTATGTATGTATGTATGTATGTATGTATGTAAGTATGTATGTATGTATGTATGTATGTATGTATGTATGTATGTATTATGTATGTGTGTATGTATGTATATATATAGTGGCAGTAATAAAAGTATCCGAACAGGATAAAAATCTTAAACCAAAGCTGTTTAATCTACAAAAGTACTAAGCTTTTGTTGGCCAAACTACTGACATCGTCAGAGTGTAAAAATGGAGCGTTTATATAACTGATCGCCTCTGCGCTCTAACCCTTGAACTGGTCATTGGTCCACTCATTAGTACCGGCTGTGCTGTTCTTAAAGGGCCCGTGCTTGTCAATGCATCAGTAGCTTCCAAGGTTGTTCCCCTGCCCCCAGTCATTGTTATTCTCCTGGCGTGTGTGCGAGTGCCCAGGAGGCGGCTATCAGGTTGCTCCTGCTCTTTTCCCCCCACCCCACTTATCCTGGGCTGTCCCTATGTCTTCATCACCAAACTATCCTATGCATTTCAGATGTCATTCTCACATTTGCTAGTCCTATTACTCCCCCTGTGTGTGTACCAGCACCTGGGGAGTAAATCCCCTGTTGTTGGGTTTCTTCACTCCCCCCTGTGCTGCCTTCAGTGGGGCATGCATATCCACCAGTGGGGTGGCTGTCTGACGCGCCCTTGGGGTTGGTCCTCCGCTCGTCAGGCTCCTTTTCGGCCCATGTGCTGGAGCGCAGGTAGTAGCCGTCCCGTCGTTTGTCTTCGATGTTCAACGCTCCTCCTGTGGCCGGTCGATAGGTTGTGTCCATCGTCGGGTCGTGCAGGGCTCGTGTTTCTGGAGCACTTCCTCCCCTCTTGCCAAAAAACATCTACACGGCGTGTCGGGGTCTTTCTTCTGCTCGCCAATGCTGTTAACTCCCCAATGTGTGTGTGTGCTTCTCGGGGGTGGCCATCCAATAGTTCTCGCTCACTATCTCTTTCCCTTTTCATTGTTATCCAAACTGAGGTATACCTGGGATTCTTGTTTTTAACGTTATTAAAGATATATATATATATATATATATTTGTTTTCTGAGGTTTTCGCGGGTATTTGTATGTAGGTCTTTAGTTATTCGGGTTTTCTCCCGCGTAGAATTAAAAGTACCTTGGCGACGTTTCGACGAAGTCACATTCGTCATCTTCAGGCTGGTGTCTTCAGCTTCGTGCTTCTAAGAGTGGTGTGTGATCGCAGCTGTTTCTTCCTTTTAACTGCCAGTGGGGTTGGAGCTGATTGGGTGGGAGCTTGGCT